CTCTGATGCCTTTTTTCTTTTCAGATGGCAAACTGAGTGCCAGAAAGTAGAGAATTCTGACATCAGATCACTGCGTTAACAAGCCCCTAGGTCAATGGCTGGACAGTGTTTCTATAAGCCTTCCTATCTCTTTATCCTGTTTCCCTGCTTTTGACATTTCCACTCCCCTAACACACACAACCTGCTTTCTGAATCAGGTCCTGACAGCCAAGACTCTCCAACCTCAAGGCCATCAAATCCAGAGCTGGATTTTTGTTTAAGCCAGCTTACCCACATACCCACCACTCACACTGCTTTCCCCACAATAAGCACTATATTTTCATTTTCACCAAGACCTCTGAGGTGTCTTTATTTTATCTTAAAGTCTAACCAGTGGAAGCTCAGAGAACTATGCTCCATGTCTCAAGTCACATGACCAAAAAGCAGTAGGACCAGGATTTAGATTAGACAAATCTAGTGCCAGAGTGGGTTATTGCCTTCTTGTCCCTCCAGCATAGCCCTGATGTAGGGAAAGGAAATAAGGTGGTTTAAGTTAATCCCAAGGGGTAATTTATTCCTGGCTCTTCTACTAGAGGAGATAGCAATGTGATCCTAGACTACTGAACATTTCTATAAACCTGAGCTACGTACTAAGTGGTGAGAACTAGGGCAAGTCACTTTACGCCCCCTCAGATAGGATCAGTGATAATGCCTCCCTAACAGAGTTGTGAAAATTAACAGTGAGGCCAGATAAGGCTTGAGCTTGCACCAAGTAGTCTGTCAAGGACTGTGTGACTACACATATTAGGTTTCAATAAGTGAGTCATGCTTTTCTTAATCCAAATGTTAACTATGATATCATTTACATTATTTTATTGGAAGCTTTTTCAAATACATTGATCAAAGGGGTGGCCTATGTATAATAAATGCATCAATGATTAAAGTATTTTATTGGATTTTTATATCTGAACTTTTACCAAAAGAAAGTTGATTCACAATTTATGTTATCGTTTCATGTCTTTCATCTAGACAGAGAAACTCTTGTCATTTTAAAAAACACTTATTGAAGGCTAGGCCTAGCAGCACATGTCTATAATCCTAGCATCTGGCAGACAGTAATAGGAGAATTGCTGCGAGTTTGAGGCCATCCTGGGCTACATAACAAGATCAAGGCCAACCTGGATTGCATAGTGAGACCACTGAGCACATGTGAAGGACTGGGATAATTCTATTCCCCACCATCCCATTTGTTCTCCTACATGTAGATACTTTATTGCTGTCTTCATTTTATAGATGAGGAAACCAAAGCCCAAAGTGTCTGAGTACCTTGACTAAGGTCACATAACTGTCAAGTGGAAAAGAAAATTTAGATGAATAAATCCATAGCTGATATTGCCTTATACCAAGATAAAATTTTCCAAAGGTTTTGAGGGACTTCCAATCAAGATATCCAGCATAAATGAATTTGTGAATGTATGTGTGAGACAGAGTCAGAGACACAGAGAGAGACAGCAGGGAGAGAGAGAGGCATAGGAAAATTTAATCTAATGGAAATCACTAAAATGGGAGAGAACATACCTCCATCCTCATTTAAGGGAGATACTTGCACAGCTACTAAGTGAATTCATTTCCAAAAATGACTAATCACTTATTATGTGCAAGGACAAATGCTCAGCTTTAGACAACACAGAACACATGGTCCTAGAGCCTTTCTCTTGGACCTCACAGACTTCTAAAGAAATTTTTAGATAAACATACTTAAATCATTTTGTGTAAATATTTTACACTTCAGTAAATTGTCTTTGGGATGTGATAAAAAAATTGGCCTTTATCCAGACTATCCTTTTATGAGGCTGCTTAAGGAAAGGAATAAAGAAGAGCGTGCAATTTGGGGGAAGATGAGAATAAGAATAAGCAGAAGAAGATGAATTACTTAAAGTGGTCAAGACTTTGGGACATAGAATACTTTTATCTTCACTGGAACTTTGAGCTCTTTCCAAAAAACAAAATCCAATGTCCTGAAAGCTAAATAAAGCAAACTGGGCCTCTGATTCCCCAAGGTTCAGATTAAGAGCCCAACTCTTCTGTGGAGGAGGATCGAGAGACTGGATTTCCATTATAAATAACCCCAGAGTTTAGTCAATAGCAATTTCTTTTGAAGCCCTTTAAGAAACCTGGGATGAGGCCAGGGGAAAGTTACCCAATAGGCCAAGTCAGAAGAGTAGAAAAATATCTACAGCTGATTTCATTTCGTAGAGCACTAGCTGCTGCAATGCACAGTGAAGGGCAACAGCCAGTGATAACAGAAGCATCCAGGAGCTGGAGGGCCCTGGGATTAAAATGTCTGTACCACTCAGGTCACAGGTGTCAAGGTCGCGCTTGAAGCACACTTGTTCCTCCTCCTCCAACCTCAGAAAATAGACTCTTAGAATATGAAGATATAAAATTCACATCCCACCCCATTCAAGCACTAGCCACGGCCACAGACAAGTTATTTGATCTTTACTTGTGAATTTCTTCACCAGTAACACAAGGCTCTCTCTACCAGGAAGCCTTCTTCAGCGGGCTACTCAATCACTCCAGAGATACGAAGGATGTTAAAACAAACTGGGAGGCAGTTGAGTTTCCCAAGCATGAAGGAATAAATGACTTGACATGTGAAAAGAGAATGTGTATGTTCATACCCATCCGCAGTTGAAAACAAAATGAAACTAGAGAATGAGGCACACAAATCCCAGAGAAACACTCTTGGCCCGTATGGACTGAAACCCAAATTCCTTGCTTGGTTTTTATAGGACTCTCCAAGATATCTTCCACCTCTTTCTCTAGGAATTTCTCGGCCTATCCATTTGTGTCTCTTGTACTCCTGTCTCTTTAATTGCCTACTGACTCAGAAGCCCAGAATATGAGCTCACTCGTTAGTCCTTCCATTTGTTTGTTGCCTATTTCTACTTCCCAGAATGCCTGTCCCCTACATGTCTGCAGGTCCCAACCTGTTCAAAGGCAGCCTCCTCCAAAAGAGGGAGCCTTCCCTGGTTTCCCCTATTGTACATCATCTCTACCTTAATCTGTGCTCCTCTGGCATGTTTATTTGTATCCCATAGTCTAATAATTTATTTGCTCATTAATTTGTTGGTTCCTTGAGAATAAGGACTGTATCTGATTTGTCTTGGTTCCACTTACCAAGCCATTAGAACAGTTAATTGATAACATTTAGTGACTCCTTAACATGTGTGATGGTTAATACTCACATTTAGCAATGAGGAAACAGGGGATCAAAGAGGTTAAGAAAGTCGCCCAAGATCACAGCTATTAGGTGGTGAAATTAAGTAGGAAGCCAGGGATTTCCAGTCCTAATTCTTAACACTCATGTCTCCCCTTATTGTACGTGTTTAGCATAGGAAGTGCTCAATAAAGGTCTGTTAATTGAATACATGATCAGGGAGATGAATGAAGAAAGTGTGACTCTTCAAGGCACTCGAGCACAGAAGGCACAGAAGCTCACACGCCCTTCCAGGTAGTGGCTGCTTAGCAAACAATCGCTAAGTTCATGATGGAAAGAATTAGTACTAGAGCAGATGTCGGGGGGAAGGCAGAGTCCAGAAAGTCCTCAAAAAGGGGAGTCACCCACTCCACATTTTTTTACAGGCTGCTTGTACTGGACAGATGGTACAGGAATGAAAAATACATCAGACAGGAGTCCTGTTCTTTGCGGGCCTTACATTTTGGCAAGATGGGAGTTAACTGACGTTTCCCAAGTCTAGGAAGGAGTAGATCTTGTTGGCATCGTAAGTGTTATTCAAGCTCAGAGAACAATGAACAAAACATTCAGAGGTGAGCGGTAAAGAAACCCAATTCTGAGCATGAATAAGCTTCCTATGAAAGAGGAAACTGAGCTGAAGATCATGAAGAATAACTAGATGACTCACATCAAAATAGGAAGCTCTATCTGGTAAAGAAGATGGTAGCACTGGGGTGGAAGAAACCACAGAGATTCTGCTCAAACACTCAATGCACATTGGACTTGTGCTGTGGGCTACTATCTGGGCATGACCTTCCCACTGGCCAGGATTCATTTGGGGCAGCACAGCACTGTGTTAGGTGATCCCAGGCCTTGAAGTTACTCTCTAGCTCTGAACAAAGGCTTCCTCACGCTGAGACTGGGTAAACTTGGGTATTTGTAACAATGAGGACAATAAGTTTCTCTTTCATGGAGCTGTCATAATGACCAAGAAGTTAATACCTATGACCTCTCCAGCTTATAGTAAGTACTATTGTAAGTAGACATTAAAAGTTATCTACTTTTAAACTGAGGGTGGTGGTGCATGCCTGTAATCCCAGCACTTGAGAGGCTGCAGCAGGAAGATCAAAGAGTTCAAGGCCAGCCTGAAGGCTGGTCTCTACACAGTGAGATGCTGTCTCAAACAAACAAAGCCAGCTAATTTATTTTGCTTCTATGATTGGCTCTGTATTTTTAAAATGAAGTATCCTCAGTGAATTTTAGGAAAAGAAGTTTACATTTCCTTTGGATATAAAATAAGACCATAACTCACACACATTACATTTTATAGCAACTTTATTGACAACACTGAGAGTTTTTCCATCAGTCCAAAGCAGGGCTTCTCTGAACTGCCATATAATACAATTGTCCTCTGTAGCAAAACTCCAAGTGGACCATTATGTTCTGTGTTTATGGACTCCCACACCAAACTTTAAAAGCAGCCATAGAATTATTCAACTAAAATCACACAGTCACATTTTATTTTACTTATAAGACCACTGAACCTATCAGAATCATGATCTACTTTTGCCATATAAAAATACTACTCTAACCTCAAAAGTAGATATTTCTTTCTTAAGGCAATTCTGATTTTATTCTTGTTTAAAAGATGGATTTAAAACACCAAGATGTATATCTTAAATATACATGCATTAAAGACAAAACTTATTTTTATTTAAAGAATTTATAACCAAATTTTGGATCTGCTGCAAAAACATGAAAATGTTCTGATTTTAAATTCTGAAGATAGTTATTTATTGTAAACCTGTATTAATATCATTTTTTTCAAATTATGAACAAATACTTTACTATTTCTTTTATTTGTGTTCATATATCACACATTGCATCTCACCACCAGATGCTAGAATGTTAGTGTGTCTTATTTTCTCTAAGATGCATTAAATTGGAAGAATACAATAGAAAACAAGGGAGATACTACCAAAATTGGCTAAGATGTCCAAGTCAAGTCATTTGAAAAAAATTGCAAGGTTTTGCTCCACACACAGCAACAAATAAAATGTATGTATTTGTTGGTGAGTGGGGCATAGGTTTGAGATAATCTAGGAAAGACAGGTAGCCATGGTGAAAAGAGGGTAGGTTCTGGAGCCAGGAAGACCAGGCTGTGATGTTAGTGCCGCCATATTGGTTGTATGTCTTCTGATCCTCAGCTTATTCACCTGAAAAGCAATCATACTACTATGAAGCTTACATACAGATCATTAGAAAGATGAGAGATAGTCATGTGTGGGAAATTCTTGGAATATAATGCATGCTCAATCACTAGCAGTTTTTGTAATGGGTACGATTTTTTATATACTTGCATGTGGATACACAGTGTTTGCTATTTATTTGTTGCTTATTGATATTTTACGAGGCATGCTGGCAACCCATCATTTATAAGGTTGCCACCTGGGGACCCAAGAAAAAGTGGTTCAGTTTTCTATTCCATAAAACTTTCTATAGATCCTGCCTCTACAGCTCATTATCAAGACCACCACAACTTACACCTACTCAGCATATTACAGTAGGGTAGGAGTTGGATTATAGGCTTCAGTTCTGGCTTCATCTCAGAAGGGTTCTGTGACTTTGGATCAAGTGCCAACCCTTTTTGAATTTCAATTTTCTAGCATTAAGATAAGGAAATCGATTACCATATTTTCTGGAAAAGTTTGCCGATTTAAATAAAGGTTCAAGATAAGTGAGAGAAAGAAACTCAATAAAAATACAGGGACGTGCTGGGAGATGTTAAGTGTTCATCTTCATGTCTCAAAATGTATGAATTTGGCCTGATTTTCACATGATGTTTTAAAAGCTAAAATCAAATTAAGTCAGAGGTAGCTCCTTTCCCTATGAACAAAATTTGCTTCTCACACAAGGCTTCATCATCCATACCTAAATCTTCTTTTGTGACTATTTCTCTAGTCCTGGCAATAGAGGAGCCCTGGATGCAACAGATTGTTTTGTTTGTTCATGCTGCTGATTAGAGACTTATATATAGGTTTGGAGTTGGGGTGTAGTCTTTAATCATGGACCCTATTTGCATCCACTGAAGTCACCAACCACACATAGCCCCAAATATCACTGGTAAATGATTTCTCACTGGGATGAGCCCTTTCCTATAATTAAGTCAGTATATAAGCACGAATTTGAACTGTCCCACTTCTAAATATGGCCAGCCATCAACTGGGCCACCTTGAGAGGCTGAAAGTCTTCTGTTCTAGAGATATCAAAGAAAAGTCTGAAAGGATGCTTCAGTAGAGGAGTTATATTGGAGATTCAAATAAGAAGTAAGCACTTATTTTCCTCTAAACTCACCAGTTCTATGGTTCTCTCTTATCAGACCAATTCTAAAGCTATAGGTAATGGGTTTTATATTTAGATTTTTAAAAATGAGTTGTCCAAACCTGTTGGAGAGAGGGTAATTCTGCACACGGGCTAAGTCTTGTCAGACTAGTGATACCAGGATTCCAAGATTCTCAGCCATGAAGGCCTGGGGAATGTACCTCTATTAAACATAGATGGCAGCATTGTGGCAGGGGAAAAGAGTTCAGGGGCAACTAACGTGCCCAAACCTGGATCTGGCAAGTAGGTGGAGGAAGGATCACATTATTGGTATTTGCTGTGGTACCTGACAATTACCTGCCTGCTCACTTCTCCCTGGATCCTCTGAGGTTCTCTGTATCCTGCTTGGTTTGTGCCCAGCTCAGTGCCCGCGGCTCGCTGGATTGTTCTATAGCTTAATCCAGTTCCTTTCTTGGCATGCTTCCTTGGCCAACTCAGAAGTTAAAAGGTTGCACTTCCTTAAAATACAGTATTTCCCAACTGAGCCTGCATCAATCAACAAATTTGTATAATTGCGCCTGTACTGCTCAAGGCTCAAGACTGGGTAGTGATCTCTGGCTTTGTTTTGCACAAGACTGGTCTTCCCTTGACCCAGCTGGGAATCAGCAATGAGAAAGGGGGTTCATGAGAATGTCTGAAATGCAACAGGGACAACACTGTGGCAAATCACCCTAGCTGTACAAAAAGCAGCAGCACCCGCAGCATCTCTCCGTGTCTGGTAAGGCTGTTGAGTCTCAGTTTGAACTTGTGGGGTGTGGAGAATGACTCAGGAGTTAAAGAATGGCACATTGAAAGAGCTACTGGACAGGCTTCCTGCCCTAGCTCTTGCTTCTTTGGCTCTTTAAAGGGTCATATGCCTCCTTGGATTCTCACGCCTTCCCCTGGGTAGGTGTTGATTTGCTGGATGGATTAAGGAGCAGCACTGGCAGGCATGGCAGCTGAATGTGTGTGGATCAAGAAGGGTTCAGACCTTTACAGGACTCACCCTGGCTTCAGGCTGAACCCACGATGGGGAAGAAAGGCCCATCCCTAGAAGGACTGTGCCTGAAAGTCCAGGTCTATGCTTGTTAATGCAGGGCAGGGTGTGAAAGCCTGGCTTGCTCTTGTGCTCGCTCTCAGGAACCACAAATGCGTGGTAACATCACCAGTTGGAGCACAGTGCTCATGTTTCTGCTTCTGCTTATTCCTGTCTGGGGTTGTTGTGACCTTTTTCTCTCTTTTCTTTGATTCTAAACTACAGTAAGTCTCACTAACTATCATCCTTCCAAAGAATACATTGTTATCTCTCTTTTTCCACCCTCTTTCAAGCTACACTGCTCTTTCTTTTGGTTGTTTAGGCTATGGTACATGTTCAAGCAGGGGACATAAATGTTTGAGGTAGTCACTAGAGAAGCCCAAACATAAGAATTTTGGATCTGTTGGTGAAAAAGAGGAAGTGATACTGACCACTGCTTGAGTGGTGACATCAAAGAGAAATCTGTGTTCTCTTCCCTACAGTGTGGCTAGGATTTTTTTTCTCCATCTCAACAAGAAGATTAAATAACAGAGCTTTCCAGGAAAAGAATAATTTATTTTTCCTTCTCCCACTTTCTTTTTCAAACCATTCAGAAATATGAACATTGTATACCTGGCAACCAATTTCACTGTGCGGAGAAGACTAATTTCATTAAGAATTGATTCTATTGAGAATTGATTCTAAAATAAAAGAAGATTTTAGAATTGATTCTAAAATCAAAGAATGATTTTAAAATAATAACATTCAAATGTTTTCATATTCACCCTGTTGGCCTCCAAATAATACAGTAGGGTTTGAAAATACAAGCATAAATATTACCCCAATCTTTTTATGGGAGAAGTCAGAGGCAAGAAGTGAAATTCTTTGCCTAAAGCTGTAAAACTGAGAGATAAAAGCATCAAAATATAGTCTTCACTTCTTTGATTTACTGTGTTTTTACCCATAGCTTGCTTATACTTCCCATGAAATAATCTTTTACAAATAAATCCTCAGATTGTAGATGTCCACAAAGTTACTAAAAAGTCTAAGAAAAATAGGTACTTAAAAAAGTCATGGCCTCATGCTTCTTTCTCTACTGTATCTGAGTATCGAGGGAAAGGATTATTTTTTAAGACAGCTTCGAAAATTCACTGGCTCACAATTACTTGGCTAACACCAGTAATAAAATACTGTGCATTAAAACCGCACTTTAAAACATATTTCTTGGCTCATTACATATTTTAGCTGAGTGGCCAGTTACATGTAAGCTTGACTGGTAGGAAGGTTTTCTGGAGCAACAGCCAGTTTTACGAGCTCTCTGTTGAGATCGGGAAGTAACTACAGGCAAGCTCATCTGTTACCAGCATGAGTGAGAAGAGATAGATAGGCCACGTACCAAGCTCACTGTTTGATCACCTCTTGAGTTGCCGCTGGAATCCTGAGAACAGAAGTGATGGCTGGTGATCAGAATACTGCTGTGGGCACTCCAGGGTTTTGAAGAAAGCAGATTGCTTTAGAGTAGATGCCTATGAGAGAAATTTTCCAGTTCCTACCAAATAAGGCTAAGATTAAGGGCTATTTCTTGATCTTTATCCGGGTCATAAAATCAAGCATGAGTTAGATCTCAGAGAGATTAAGGTATGGGGAGGAGCGCATAGCTACGAGTGTGAAGTCCTAGGTTCTCTCCAGGCTCTGTGTGATCTCTGACTGTATAGGCATCATTTATCAAATGAAGACCTGGACTATCTAGTCTTTGACACTTCAGAGCTTGATATTCTCTGATTTCATACCCTTGTCCTTTCCCTATAACTAACATTATAACTTCAGTGCTTCCAATACACTGAGTTTATATTTTTTAGAGGAAAGAACTAGGTAAGGTAAGAAATAAATGAAAAATAAATGTTCACAGATACGTTTCTGGTTTAAATACCTGTTTGATGTACAAAATTAGAAAGCAAGCAAATGAAAGAAAAAATCTCTTATAATCTCATCATTCAGAGATGTTCATTATGAACATTTTGGTAAGTTTCATTCCAGCATTTCATACATACACACATTTATTAATACTTTCCCATTGCTATTTCAGCGGATTTTAAAAACTTATCCCACATTCTTTTGACCTTATATCAGCTGTGTAAGATCTAATTCTTTAAATGAATCTCTAATTCCATATCACTTGTGGTTCTACTTTCCTGATTGCACTCCCACTAGTACAAAAAGCATTCCTGAATCTCCCAAGACATGTCAGGTCAGAGTTTTGGTACTGACCTCTCCATCTAGATATCCCAGGACAGATTTTTGAAACATTGCACAGTATGTTCTAAAACAGTTTCCGGGTTTTAAAAATAATCATTCATTTATTATTACCCTTAGTATTTATTGAACTTACACTCTACGTGTCAGACACCATGCAAGATAATTTACATGTATAATAATTTTACTTAATCTTAACTGCCTGGGGGTAAATATATCATTGTTCCCATTTACGGATGAGGAAACTGGGGTTTAGGCAAGGTACTTGGGGCAAAGTCACTAGCTAATAAGTGGCAAAATCAAGATGCAAACACAAGCAATTCGGTTCCAGAGTCCATGTCCTGGATTCAAAGTTAAGTTACTCCATTAGGAAGGGCAAGGCATTTGTGGAAACAAAATTTAGATGTTGTCCCAACCCAATGACTTTCCAACTCACACAGAATAATAGGAAAGCCGGCCAATACCCTATGAAGTGTACATAATGAAGTCTTCTGTGTCCTGATCGTCCACTACCCTGCCCACCTCTCTGCTCCATCCAGCCTCTGTGCCCTTCTTCAAGCACTCCAGGCATGCTCTGGCTCAGGGCCGGGGCACTTGCAGTTCCCTCTGCCTAATATTGTTACCCCAGATGTCCAAAATGTTTCCTCCTCCACCTTTTTTCAGTCTTTAATCGAATGTCACCTGCTTGGTGAGGCCTTTCCCAGTCACCCAATCCCAAGTTACGTCTTTCCCCTCAGAAGTGTCCCATGCCTCTTCCTTGAGATAGTTTTTTCTATTCCAGCACTTATTACCATCAAGAATACCACACATATTTACTGTGAAACTTATGATTTCTCCTTCCTAGAAGAATATTCCACAAGAGCAAATGGAGCGCAGTACCAAGGAGTTAGCAAATGTTTGGTTGAAGAAATGGGTGGAGTGTTTGGCCAAACGCCTCATGGAGGAGCCTGGATTTGAGCTAAGCTCCTTGGCACATAGAATCTCTGAGCAAACAGATGAGTTGAGGCAGGAGGGCAGGGGAGACAGGGACACAGACAGAGGCCCTGTGGGGCCCAGGGAGATGAGCAGGACTGGGCTCACTGACCTGTTCTCCATTTGTGTTTATTTGCCAGATTTCATTTCTTCCACAGTACTATTGACTGTCACTGAGTATGTGACAAAATTCCATGGCAGTTGATACACTAAAAAGCACATGGGTGGAACTGGGAGTCCTTTCCCTGAATCTAGAATGGGATCCTGGCCTGGCTACTTAACCTCTCTAACCCTCAGCTCGATCACCTGCAAAAGAAGGATAACCACACTGGCTCACAGTTCTCACGAGCCTGTTGTGAAGATCAAAGGAGGTAACAAATGAAAAAAATACGTCACCCTCCGAGTTAGACAACTACAGTAAAGATTAGTTAAAGCATGAGTGTGTCAATGAAATCATTGCTCAGGCTCGTACGCAGATTATCGACCTCAATGGTATAACAAGGGGGTGAAAGGTACCAAATCAGTGACTAACTTAAAAAGCCTTCCTTTGGCTTTTGAACATGGGAGTGATGCAGGAAGAGAGACTGGAGGATGGATCTTCCTGAAGATGATGCTAAGATCTAAACAAGGCACTGTTTATTCCCTTGCACAAATACTGTGGCTTATTTCTCTTTTCATTATTATACACACTTGTAATTTAGTTATTAGGATCCCTTCTTTAGAGATAAGACGGCTCAGGCCAAGATGGGTTAAATAACTTCCCCACAGTCACACAGGCATTTGGTGTCAGAGTGAGAAGAAACCATTTTTGCTCCAAGGTCTGATGCCTTTGTCCTATGTCGCCTTTTCAGAGACGTTGGTAAAACAATTAAGCGCCAATGGGATATCATCCACCCAAACGAACTCACATGATTCCCAAGCCATACCATTATCACACACTGGGTGGCTGAGGATGGACAAGTGAGTTAACACACAAGTCTAAAATGAGGACCAGACAGACAACAGACTGAGCTACTAGGTACAATTCTACAAGTGAAAACAAGGACAGTGTACATCCAAAGCTATGAATCCAGCCCCCGTCAGGCCACTGACGTGTACCATGAGTATTTTCTTTTAGCAGGGCATGTAAGCAATTTAGGAGAAACCAGGATTTCAACTTAAATTCTCAGTAAGAGAATAAGAATAATATAGCTGGGAGCAATGTCCAGTGGTTTTTCTAAGCATCGGATATTTTTTCACTAGTGGCATAATAAATGATAAAATGTTTTTTGGATGACTGGCAATCCCAGTCTGGATTTTAACTTACTGGTGATACTTTTACAGCTTCTTACCAGTTAACCGTCACATAATAAATGTTAACTGAATATTTATACTCACCTATGTCTGACATGTGTGATAATAGTATGGCTCAGTAATCACATGAGCTCGTTTGGGTAGATGATCAATGTACAGATGGAGTGATACACCAAGCTCAGATAACCACTAAAAAAATACAGGGACAATCTTAAATAAGTGATTTCTGTAATTAAGAGCCACATAGATTCAGAGTAAAGGAGGAAAGTTTTCTTTTTGTGTGACTCACCATTTGCAGCATGTTAGGGGTAAAAGAGGACTGGGTCATTGGGTACGTTTAGCCATTTTAGATTACAAAATTGAGAAGTACAAAGGAGGGTTATGCAGTGAGTCAGAGGCAGACTTTTTAAAAAAAATAAAAAACAAAAACATTTCCTCCCTGGCCACCACTATTTTCTGTAGGTGCTATGGAAACCTTCAGATATAGGCCTTTGCAGGGAGGTAGATAACATGGTGAGATGGTACCGGGTCTCTTTCCAAGCAGCACTCAAGAACATGTGTTTGGATTTATTTAACCTTGCTTCGAACATCCATCCTCAACTTATTGGCCCTTTGACCCAGGGAAGCTGTTCACATTTAGAACCTCTGGTTCTTGACTTATAAAGTGAAGATCTGTGCCTCATACAACTCCTGTTGGAATAAAATGAGTCTGTGTTGTAAAGGCTCAGAGGAGTGATTCCTGTGTTCACAGTATTTTTCAACATTTCACTCTCTGGAAAACAAAAAAATCCCCAGGCATCTCACTTCCTGAGCTCTCTTGAGCAGTATAAGAACCTTCCTGGGCAAGACTCACACTGCCTCTTCCCTCACTTTCAGGTGTTGGCCAGATGGTCTTGAAGTTTCCATTAAATGAGTCTGTCTAAGCTTATATTTTTACCTGAAGGTGAGGCTAGCCGGCAGTACGTAAGACAGTGTAGTCTCTACACATTGATGTTTGCAAGCCATTCACTGCACTTCCCCATCTTAATCCTCAGAAGAATATCTTCGAGGTAGCAGTTGCTATTGCCTCTTACCGATGAGCAAACCAAGGCCAGAGGCACAGACAGAAATACTCACACACCTATGGCTTAATAATTGACATGCAAGGAAGACTCTTTTGAGAGTCTCTAACCAAACAGCACTCAAGAATAAGGTCTTCATTATGCCCCTGGCATTGAAAATGAGAGCAAACATCCCAGTTTTCACTCCATCCATCCTCCTTGCTCTTGCACTAAAAGCTTTCAGTTATCTTATCTTTCTTTTTTGTTGTTCTCTTAAATGTGGTTCTGGGCTGAGGTCGTGACTTTCTCTCCAATCTGGAAGACGACAGGACTGATCAGACAGTCTTCCTTCTTCCCAGATTTAACATGCACAAACAAAGCTGATGCGTAGGAATCCAGCCCTGGATGCCCGTGGGGCTGGCTGTGAATTTTTACCCAGCTCTTACTTGATTGTCTTTCTTTACATTTGACAGTACTTGCCACCGATAGAGCTGGCCCCTTTCCATAGATACTGATTTATAGTCTCTTTGAAGGGCCTAGAACTGTGCCCCAAGAACTGTAAGTACAATGGGTACTCACTGAGCTGGACATGGTGTTGCTAGCAGTACGGTTCAGCATTGCACCAAGTATTGTAGCAATTGCTCTGAATTGCGAGGCAGGCTGGGGTGTTAAGGGCAGGCTTATTGCTAGCTTTCCCCACATAGAACAAAGCCGAGTTTCAACTAATTCCTAATAATGCAATTAAATTTTTGGAAACAGAAGCCTGTTTTCATATTTAAATGTTGACTTTCACCACGCAGCAAAGGTTGGCCAACTGCAAGAGTGAGTGGAAGATTTTGGCAAGGATATTAATTGGTATTTTCCACTGTTAAAGAGGCTACACATGCTAATGCACAGGTAAACTCCATCCCTGGGGGCTCCTAAGCACCAAAGAGTGTGTGCAACACGAGGCTGAAAACTGACATGCC